CCACTTTAACACAGATCTGAGCTCACCTGCAGCAATACCCAGCTGGAGTATCTATCTACCTGCTGGGATTTCCAAGGCAGGGCCCAGAGTGGCAATGGCTCTTTGGAAATGCTCCACAGCATGCAAACCCTCACTACTGAGCTTTACTAAAGGGCAAATCCAGAGATGTGATGCACCAAAGTCCAGGGGTCACCCACACTGAAAGCCCACAAAGGCATCACAACACAGTGCTGAGGCCTCCAGGGTCCAGTCCCTTCTGTCACTAACTTTAATGCTTTCAACTGATATTTCTCACAACTTACCCATGACAGACATTTTAAAACCATGAATTATCATATTTACTGTCATTGTTGATTTTGGGATCACCACTAATCTTAGGCAAACATTCTCTTTTCTGCCCTGTACTCACCTTGTTGATCACTCCTGCCTCAGGATTTGAGACCCTGCCACAGCCAGGAGAGGTTTCTGCCCAGCCCCAGCTACTCCAGAGAGCAGAGCCCGTGTCCCTGCAGGGCCCCTCACTGCCACCCCTCCATTCCACTGCCCTAAAAGCAGGGACAGGCTCTGTCACTCCTGCATGAGGATACAGGATCCACATTCCATGAGCAAGGCATAAACCACACACAAGACAGATGCCTTGTATTCTCTGCTCAGCCTCCTGCACAATCCCAGCAAGGAAGGGTACAATGGCTGAGCTACTTAAATCTCTCTGAGCCAGGAATCCTCACTAACCACAGCATCATCATCCAGCCTCAGAGGAACAGCACTGGGACAGCCTGGCTTCCATGGCTGTGCCAGCATCACCACTTCAGATGCCACACACAAAAATTCTTAGAAATATGGTGGAGGGAGGATAAATATCCCCAGGGTCCCACTGCAGACACCTGCAATCGAATCCTCTTGAACCAGAAGATGGAAGTTGTGCTGCTGGTCTAAATTAGTGGTTGCTCCTAAGCTGAGGCAGGCTGCACACCGAGTTGTGAAAACACCCTCCAAGTCTGGGGGTGGAGAAGGAGGGGTATCAGCTGCAGAATGCTGCACAGCAAGTAAACAAATGTGCTTCAACTTCAGGTTTGCAGCCCAGACAAACTACACCACCTCAGAAGCTGCAGGCAGAGAAGGGCCTCACCAGAAGGAGGATAAAGAACAGTAACTCTCACAATGCTGGCAACATTATACCTCTAGAATAACAAACCCCCCAAATTTCACAGGCTACTTTTACAAGAACTAAGTTATCTGAAATTTTACAGTATCACCACAGAGTGAAAGAGCCTAAAAATGAAAAAGAACACCGCCCTGCAAAGACTTACAGAGTTTCAGTGTATCTTTGAGTGACAAGGGCCTGTGCAGCTGCAAAGCCAGTCCCAACTAACATGCTGTAAAAGTAGAATTTCCTTACTCTTACCTGCATGAAGCTGAACTGCATCTGGACTGCACTGCCATGATCTGAACTGTGCTGCTTCACCCACTGAGCGGGAAAGCACAGCTGAGGCACCAGCAAGCCCTATCTGCAGGCTCCACTCAGTGCTTTGTTATCTAGCAAAGTGAGATCCATCCAGGGGGAGCAGATAAGCAGATATCCTGCTGCACAAGCCACATCTGTTTTCCTGAGCACACAGTGGGAAAACACAGCCTGTGCTAAGAAAAGAGCAATCCATCACACCTTGGGGCACACCAGCCCAAGCTGCAGGACAGCAGCAGCAGCCCCGAGCATCTGTCTGAGCCTCAGACTGCTGGGAGTGCAACACGGCCTCAGCATCCAAGATAAAGACTCACTGCTGCCTCAGGAAGCACAGAGGAAATCAATATGTCAGGGCTCTCAAAAGCAGTCCTCAACCTTCTGCAACTAAATGGAAATACATGGAAAAAAAGCCCTCGGAGCATCTGTTAACCACATGCTGAGCTGGAAGAGCCTGAGCATGGCAGGAACCTGCATTCAGCACACTGCAAGGAGACAGCTCTCTGCTCCAAACAGTGAATCACTCTATCAGCAGCACTGCTCCAAGAGCCTGAAGCAGCTCCAGCAACCCCCACAGAAGTTTCAGTGAGCCCTTCTTTAAGGGTTACCACATGAGACAGCAAAACACATTTAGTCTAGCTGCTCTATTATGCAATGCTTTAAGTCCAGGTTCTAAACATCAGCCTGCTGAAGCAGCTACTCCAGCAAATTTCTTAACTAATGAAATACATTAAAAAAAAGTGAGTCTTCAGAGTTTTCTTAGGCCTGAAATATTTGAGGTCTTCAAAACAGTCACAGAGAAATACAGTCTGCAATTCAGAGGCACATCCACAGGTGCCACCTCCACAGATAAACAAAGACAAGGGAGTGAGCCAAGAACAACATAAGAGTTAAGGAATTTTTCCTATGCTTTTGTCATGAGTCATGGAGATCTAAGATTAATTATAGCCTACACTGAAAGTACCTTCAAAAATGCATCACAGATTTCAGTTAGACAGTATTTCATGTCTAACAGGTTTTCACAAGATGCTGAAGTACTCACACAGCATCAGTAAACCTTTCAAAGTCAGTAAGGCCAGAGGGAAACTACAGGTATGTCACCAAGACCTACTCAGTCAGCTTTTAAACTTAAAAAGTCTTTTCAATCCTAAGCCCTGAATGATACCAATTGTAGCATAGCAAAAATAAATGACAAGAAAAAGCCACTCTTCTGAACTTCCTCAGTCATTCAGCCCATTTCCTACTTCAGCTGACTCACATTGGAACTTGCTCACAAAACACTTCCAGCATCAGAAAAACACAGAACTCAAACAAAAGACAACAGTTTTTTGCCAAGTTATTGATGGCTACCCAAACATGAATGTCCCTAAAAACATGATCCAAAGTTCAACAGAAAAGTTTAGGGACCTTTAAAATGACTTATAATAGATATAGGGACTACATACAAGACTGTACAAGCTAAGGGCATGTTTTTTTAAGTGAACACAGCAATCTAAATCTACAACACTTTATGAGAGTAGGATTAGAAAACTAATATTTACAAGAACCAGGCACACACGTGTGTGGTCAGGTGAACATGCACCCACATCCCCCCTCCACCCTCTCCAGGCTCACACCTGTTGCAGAGTCTACGGCAGTGACACCAAGGCCGTGTCAAACCGCAGCATTCACCCCGAAAAGCCAAACACAGCCCCGCACGCCGCACTTACCGTCCTCGAAAGGAGTCCCCTCGGGCCTGGAGAAGGGAAAGCAAAGCACAGCGTTACCCCGCTGGCAGCCCGGCTCCGACCCCCCGGCGGCGGAGCGGCCCCCGCGGCCCGCCGCCCCCTTCCCCGCCGACTCACCCGAAGATGACGGCGTTCCACACCATGATGTTGTTCTCAGAGGGGGCCCCGCTCACCCCGGCCGGGGGATCCTCCTGCAGCCTGCGGGGCACAGGGACGGTGAGCGCGGCTGCGCCCCCGCGCTGCGCAAACGGCGTAACCCGGCCCGGCAGCGGCCACTGCGCAAACGGCGTAACCCGGCCCTGGAGCCGCCGCTGCGCAAATGGCGTAACCCGGCCCTGGAGCCGCCGCTGCGCAAACGGCGTAACCCGGCCCTGGAGCCGCCGCTGCGCAAACGGCGTAACCCGCGGCAGGCAGCGCCGCCCGCGCTACGCAATCAGCGGAGCGCGCCTTGCCCCGCCGCCATGTTGTGCTGCCCCCTCCTCCCCCGGTAGCGCTCGGCCCTTCGTCCTCCTCCTGCCCGCCCGCCCCTTTCCCCTCGGCCCGCGGCCTCGGTACCTCTTGAAGTCCCGCATGAGGCGCCTACGGGCCGGAGTGGACATGGCGGGCTGAGGGTTATAGCTCAGGCATACACTGCCGGAGGGAGCGCCGGGTGCGGCTGAGGTTCGAGCTCCGACTGAGGCGGCGGCGGCGCTGACGGACAGGAGCGATCGCGGCCTCTACCACTACGGCGGGCGCGGGGGGGGAGCCTGGGCTGCACCGACTCCTGCGCCGGCAGCCCGACGGTCCCGGGATGTACCAACGGCGCGGGGAGAGGGGGGCGGAGCCGGATGTGGCTGAGCCCCCGGCCCAGCCTCTACCACCACGGCGGGGGGCGGGGCCTGGGGCGGCACCAACGGCGGCGGAGGGCGGAGTGTGACGCCAGCAGTGGCGTCACGGGGAGGCGGTGGCGCTGCGGGATCAAAACAGTTCAGTGGGGAAAGCGAAGGCCGGGCCCAGGAGCGAGCTGGAGCAGGGAGAGCATTCCCAAATCCCCGGGGCACGCAGGGCTCCCTCACACCTAACGGTGACTGGGGAAGACAAACACCATCACTACAAACATGCCCTCCCTTCCTCCTTCTGCCGCAGATTTCTGTGCTGAGGATGAGGTCCCATGGTCTGGGACATCCCTGGGCTCAGTTGGGCTCAGCTGTCCTGGCTGTGTCCCCTCCCAGCTCCTTGTGCACCCCCAGCCTCTCGCTGCTGGGTGGGCTGAGGAGCAGAGGAGGCTCAGCTCAGGGTAAACCCTGCTCAGCAGTAACAAAAACATCTCTGAGTTATCAGCGCAAATCCAAACCACAGCCCCACACCAGCTACTGCGAAGAAAAGTAACTCCATTGCTGTCAAAACCAGCACAACACTGCATTCTCTGCTTCCCCAGAGAGTGTTTTCAAGGGAAAAATAAGCTTTTTTCTACGTTTCTTTAACAGCTTTTGGAAATAAAGAATCGCTCAGCTGTTGCGTAAAGCTGGCTGAGCTGTGTTTCTCGAGTTTATCCTCACTTGCAATTTCATATAACCCAGCTGTGTGGGGAGGCGGCTGAAGAAAGAGACACGGCAGAAAACGCAGTGACAGAAAGTTAACATTGTTATCAGGCCGCACAGGACCTTCCCCGCTGCACCGGCCTGTGCGGTCAGAACCGTGTGAGCTCTGGCTCCTGGTCAAGAAGCGCTCAGTCCAGTTTTGCCCGGCCTTTAGAGGGGCAGGAGCTCCGGCAGCCGCCGGGCTCTGCGCTCCCCGGAGCCGCCCCGGCGGGCGGGGCCGGGCGCGGGGGCCGGGCCAGGCGGCTCCGGGCCCGCCGCCGCCGCCGCCATGCCCAAGGTGGTGTCGCGCTCCGTGGTGTGCTCCGACACCCGCGACCGCGAGGAGTACGACGATGGGGAGAAGCCGCTGCACGTCTACTACTGCCTGTGCGGGCAGATGGTGCTGGTGCTCGGTGAGCCGGGGACGGGCAGGGGCAGGCCGGGGGGGGCAGGCCGCGGCCCGGCGGCGCGGAGGGCCCGGGAAGGCGGCGGCGGGGTGCGGGTCCGGGGTGTGGGATACGGGTGTGGGTTTGGGATGCGGGTGCAGGTTCGGGATGTGAGGTACCGGGTGTGAGTTGGCGATGCGGGTCCGGGATGTGGGATACGGGTGTGGGTCCGGGATGCGGGGTGGGGATTGCGGTTCCCGTGCGGGTGCCCGCCGGCCCCGCCGCCAGCCCGGCCCTCGCTCCCGCAGATTGCCAGCTGGAGAAGCTGCCGATGCGGCCCCGGGACCGCGCCCGCGTGATGGACGCGGCCAAGCACGCCCACAAGTTCTGCAACGCCGAGGAGGAGGAGAGCGTGTTCCTGCGCAGGTGGGCCCGGCCTCTGCACCCCCGTCCCTCTGAGCCCGGCCCGGGAAGGCGCTGTCCCCCCGCCCGGCCGGGAGCCGCCAGCCCGGCACAGACAGACCCTGTACGGTGTCCGTGTGCTCAAGCGCTGCCTCTCTTCCCCCAGACCCGAAGGCATAGAGCGGCAGTTCAGGAAGAAGTGTGGCAAGTGAGTGACCTTTTTTAGTCTTTTGAGTGATTTTTATAATCTTTTTTATAAGGAAATCATAGGAACCCAGAATCTGGGTTTGCTCTCAGCTGTGCATATTTCTGTTTCCAGGTGTGGACTGCTGCTCTTTTATCAACACCAACAGAAGAATGCTCCTGTGACGTTCATTGTTGATGGTGCTGTGGTCAAATTTGGCCAGGGTTTTGGGAAAACAAACATATATACTCAGAAACAAGAACCTCCTAAAAAGGTGATTTGCTTTAGAGAACAAGGATATCTTTGCTTTTCTAAAGTGACAATAGTTGTGTATAAAATAACTTAATGGTGAGGGGAGAGAAAAGAAAAAGGACCTCTGAACAATAACTCAATTTGGTGTCTTGTCCATGTCTCCCTTAAGTTTCCCTTGACAGTGGTCACTGCTGCTTGAAGTCCTAGCACTAAAGGAGAGCAAAATCAACTCTAATATCTAGACTGTGCCTGATGTTTAGGCTCAGTTAACAGAAAGTTTCCAGTTGTAAGTAGATCAGCTTGGTAGTTTGCACAGTGATTCTCAAATTCTGGCTGACCTACTGTATATCAGTGAGCTTGCTTCTGGTAATGACACCTTTAAGCCCAGAAATCACTGAGCATAATTCCCCTTTACCACCCACAGAGTTCAGGTAATCTTGATGGCTTGCATAAGAAGCCTTAAAACCTTTGGAAGGAGGAAGCAATCCCTACTGGCACAGCTGTCGCCAAGGTTTAACAAAATATTCTTGTTTTTCACCAGGTGATGATGACCAAACGGACCAAAGACATGGGCAAGTTCAGCTCTGTCACAGTGTCCACAATTGATGAAGAGGAGGAGGAGATTGAAGCGGTGAGTTTTGGATGCCCTTAGTGGGCAGAGGCAGCAGTGGTGTCACTGTTTGGATGAGATGTTGTTGCTCTGGGGTTTGCTGGTGCAAGGTGACGTGTGTCTGTTTCAGAGGGAGATTGCAGACTCATATGCACAGAATGCAAAAGTGATTGAGAAGCAGCTGGAACGCAAAGGCATGAGCAAGAAAAGGCTACAAGAGTTGGTGAGTTTTTCTTTGGTGCTGAACACAAAGCTCTGAGAGGTGTTGGCTTTGTACACAAAAGCTGTCTTGCAGATCAGACTGCAAGTGTGGAGAGGTCCTGGTATAGTCACAGGCAGCTTGCAGCTTTGTGGGGATGAGATTTCCTTTACAGGTTTTATAAAGATGTTCTTGTCCCCCTGAATTTAAAATTGCATGCCACTGCCTGGAGAGCTAACTGAAGAGCAGCCAGCAGAGTGCCTGCAGGGAGGCTTCCTGTGACCTGCTGGATAAGGACCAAGGGAAGGGGACATCAGGCCATGGCTTTGCCAGCCTGTGCTCCCATGCCTGCTTGGCAGAGCAGGTCATTGCCATGAGGCTCCTGGGCAGGATCTGCACTCAGCTGCTGCTGCAAGGGGCACTCAGAGAATGAATGGCAAGGACATCACAACTGATCTTAGCTCCTGTGATAGGAGGGGAGTAGATGGAAAGGGGGAGGAAATGTGCAGCTTCCACCTGAGGATAGAAAGTATGAAATTGCCTCTTGGGCTTTTTACAATTTTAAAGATGGCCCTTGTTTTGAACACATCTGCAAAACACTTGAGCTACTCTTGCTCCTGGTTTTAGAACTGAAAAATTTGCTTGGTCAGACAAGAAGAGCAGACTTGATTGGAGCACTGAAGGGAAAATTATCCAGACATGATTTAATTCTACCTTAATTTTCCTGTTCAGGCTGAGTTGGAAGCCAAGAAAGCCAAGATGAAGGGAACCCTGATTGATAACCAGTTCAAATGAAATGCTGTGTATCTGCTGGGTGTTTGGAGACAGGAGAAAACTGCCAAGAGCTATCACAGTTCTGTCAACAAAGCAGAAGTAACAGACAACGTTCAAGAGTTGCACTGTGCTGCAGCCAGCTTGGAGGATGGGAATCTCTCTGGATCCTCTGTGTACCAGTCTTAACTCCAATGGCACTGGAGGCTTTCAAATGTGTTTCCTTGAATACATTAGGACAACAGGTACAACAAAGAAATCCTTACAAAAGGAAGCTCTATGCCTGTTGTTCATTTTAAACATATCCAAAAGGTGCAGCAGCCTGTGCCATGCCACTCCAGCATGGTCTGGAACAACAGGGATGCAAAGCTTGGGCCTGGTGCTGCTGCTCACCCTGAGCTGCCAGCACAGACTGGGCTGCTGCACTGCAGTCTCAGCTCCTGCTGAACATCACAAGGCTGCAGTTGTACAGACACACACCAGAGTGGAAAATCCAAGCCTGTTTTAAACTCTTGTAAATAAAAACTGCTACTAATGAGTTCAAATATATGTTTGGAAGTTACTGATACAGCCAGTGATCATTAAAGAATACATCTGCACATCTGAAGTAGCCCATTGGGCAAAACAGTATCAGTATTTGGAGTTGTGAAATGTGAAGGAAAAATTGTTTTGAATGTACTGACCACTAAGGCCTTGTATGGACAACATTACACACCAGTTTTTAAAGTACCTTGTTTGGGTAATGGTACTTTGTGCCTCTTGCATGATGTAATGACAGTGCTCTCTAGCCCATGTCTTCATTGCTCTACTTTGAATTAAATATCATTACAGATATATTAAATATATTACAGATTTGAACTAAAAATATCTCTCCTGAGATATTCTTGCTCTACCAAGTAAATGCACCATAAAATGCAAGCAATGAACAAGATGCTTCCATCTTCCACAATTATTATGGAAAACTTCCTATAATAACTATAATTCCTAAAGATTTTCCATCTGGCTTTATAGCCCTGACTGGCAAAACTCCAATCTGTGTACCTAAGATCTATCCTCTCTTTCTCAGGAAAACAAGGAGTAAAAGAAGGAGTGAACTCTGCCCAGAGCTAGCAGAGATGGGTTGGTAGATCCTGGGACAATTTAATGCCAGCATGGTAAGCAGGTGTTCACATTCACTCACCCAGTGCTGATCTTGTTCCCTGCTCATCACCTGCTGATCTGGAGCCTATTTCCAGAAGCCGTGGTGGTGTGCAGTACTCGGGAAGGGCAGGAGCTGTGTGGGTACACAAAGCCCTTCCCCAGTGTGGTAGCACAGTCCAGCCAGGTGAGGGCCTCAGGCTTCCTCTGGGAGCGATCCAAGCCTGGGGGAACTGCAGGTCACTCTCTCTAACAATTCACACTTTTTTTCCCAAGCAAGAGTAAAAGACTGACATCTGGAAATAGGTTTTGAACCATGTGAGAGGTGCTGGGATGCAGATGCTGAGTTTCCAGTTGTCCAAGGATGAAGTGTGGTCTTGCTTCAAGTAACACCAGAACAACAAGCTGGCTTGGGGATGGTGGCATTTATTGTCAGGGTTAAGGCTGGGAGGGACAAAAGCTGAGGATGGGCTGTGAAGGGGCTGCCAGGTGGGGATAAGACCATCTCTGAAATTTGCTGAGGCACAAAGAAAATCTGGTGAGTGCCCCAGCTCAGCACAAGTTGTCCAAAGTAGCTGTTACCAACTGCCATCAACTCCCTCAGCTGCCTCCTGCAGCCTTGTGACAGCACAGGCTTCTGGAAGGACAGTCCATGTTCAATCAGTGTTTGTCATTCTTGTCATTGGAAATCTGCCAAGTTTGGCTTAGGACTGGTGCATGGACCCAGTCAGAAATGGGAGTACCTTGCATCTTCTGAGGTGCTCTTGATACACTCTAGTTATTCAGGCCATGACTGAGACAGCTACAACACAGAGAATCTGATCTAATACATTATTATGTATTTCTTCAACTGGAGCTAGTTCACAACAGTGTAAATCAAGTTGGGTTTTTCATTTCTAGATTTAAATGAATTAAAATATATTAGCTGACTGTAGCAACAGGAAGCAGGGTCACCAAGTTGCAACAATTGATGAAGTGTCCTGTTAAAATAGATAAAACCAGCTGTCCTGCAGGGTTTCCCACAGCCTGGTAGCAAATGGCAATCTGTAGCAGAGTTCAGACCAAAGAAAAGTCAGATTTCATGTTACAGTCAGATATGTAAGTCAACATTTGTTTTTATAAGTCTGTAGATACAGGTAAGTGATAGATTTGTTTAACTGAGCATCATATTGTATGTAAGAACTTTTCTAGATGCAGAGATATCACAAAATGTGAAATAAAAGTGAAGGAGGGATTCTGTTCCAAAAGTAATGGCACACATGGACAGACTTACCTTACAGTATTTCATGACTTACTTCAGACCAGTTTCCAAGCACCTTCACAAAACTCTGGTCTGATTTACGGTGTCAGAAGAGTTCTGGATGTAACAATGCTGCCTGGCTCCCAATAACCTGTACAAAACCTCCACACAATTTGTAAACACTCAAGAGAAGTGGTAACAGTGAATCCAACCTCCTCCCTGTTATCACAGCTGTGCCTGGGGAGCAGCATTGGAGTGAGGGGAAGTTTTAGCCTCAACCCTTACAGCTCTCCCTGTGCTCCATGTTTGTGCCATTTCACTCAGTGCAGGTGGCTTGCTCTGACTCCCTGGGCTGTTGTATTGATAAATGCACATTGATAAATACACACAATGTGTATGACAAAGTGATCAGCCTGGCAGCAGCACTAACTGATCAGCCTGAATCTCAGTCTCAGCTTTTGCTGGTGCTATTATCCTAAAGAGGCCATGGGGCTTTGCCACATCCAGGCATTTTAAAAGTACAAATTTATGGGCTTGTTATAAAGGCTCCATGGCTGGGCTCCAAGGATGGAATGGAAGCCTTGTAACTCCCTGCTGAGGAATCCTTATGACCCTGGCTGGCCACAGCAGCCTGGGGTTTTGGGTAGATTTCAAGGAACAAGTGGCCAATCTCTCTTTTGTTGTCAGCCAGAAAAACTCCATCCCCACGGCAGCAGCCAGGGCTGTAACTCCTGTCAATCCCAGCAGGATCAGAAAGCAACAACCAGCAAAGCACTGGAGGGATGACACCTCCCAGAACCTCCCTGGTGCTGCCAGTCTTGCTGTGGGGTCTTGGCAGGTCCTGAGGACTCCTTGTTCCCAAAACCACCCCCAGCAGCTGGGTATGGCTGTAGGGTGTGCAGAGCTGGGGCTGTGTCCTTGCAGGCATGTGACACAGCTCTGTCCCCACAGCCAGGCCCCCATGCAGTGCTTTGGGCAGCTGATGGGGCCACCCTGCATGGCTGGGCACTGGCAGGACAATCCCACTGGGAACTGTGATTTTACCCTGCAGGACAAAGCCTCTTGCCCTGCCCCTCTGCACCAGACCCTGCCAGCCATGCAGGCAGCACATGAAGGATGCTGGGGCAAGGGTGACAAGGGTGACAATGACACAGAGGCAGGGGCACTCCTGGCTCCATCCAAAGCCCAGAGACACAGCCTGGAGTGACCCAACAATTGCTGAAGGGGACAGTGGAGTGGGTGAGCTGGCACTCTGGTCTTTTACAAGTCAAGTCCTCGGGGTGGGATGTTCTTCACTGCAAGACTCAGCACACAGGCAGGCACAGCCCAGCTGGGACAGGCTGGTGCACACTGAACCATCCCAGCCATCCCACACCAGTCACCAGCTGCCCCAGGCACTGACAAGTGTGTCACACGATCCCCTGCACAGCTCTGCTGCGTCAACACCTCCTAAGCCTGGATTTATGGCTGCTGGGCCAGGGCTGAGGCAGAGGCAGCACTACAGGCATTCACCATCCCTGTTCACCTGCAAAGGAGTTGCTGCACCAGGCTGGACACAGCTGCTGTGCAGGAAATCACAAGGTGTGGGATTGTTCAGCCCTTCCCACAGGAGAATCACACTAAAAAGGAAAATCCACCCCATCCATGTCATTCTTGGGGCAGCACAGCCCAGAGGACAAAATGCAGGGTTGGAGGGACTGCACTCAGCTTGCTGCCTTGCCACTGGTGGGCCCCAGTCCTTTTCTCATGCCTCAGTTTCCCCACAAGAACAAAGCCCTTAATCCCTGCACACTGTGCTCCTGTGGCAGGCAACAGCAGCAGCTGAACTCCCAGCCTGGTCCCCAGGAGGGGCAGTTCAAGCCCCAGAAGGCCTACCAGGCTGTAGTACCCAACAGTGGAGTGCAGGAAAACCCCTTGTGGGCTCTGCCCTGCATCTCCCACCTGCCAGAGCTAAAAAAGCTGTGAAACACATTCTTGTTTCCTGAATCCCCAAAGCACTCAATAGGGCAGGTAGCTAAAACCCATTTCACTCAGTGCCAGCCCTGCACCCCAAGTCCAGTGCACAGTCTGTAGGTCTTAGGGATGGCCCAGCTCAGCTCCTTTGCAGCCTGGCACAAGAGCCCAGCTCAGTGCCTCAGTCACCCACCACTGTGTGCAGGAAGAAATGATGCACTTACCTTACTGTGCCAATGGCCTGGCCATGCAACCCCTGTGGAGGAAAGGACAGGAAAGGATGCCCCATGCTCAGCATTTCAGAACAGCCCTCGAAATCCAGGAGAGCTTAGCAGCAGGAGGCTGAGAGCCCTTACTTAACAAGCTGGCACTTGTACAACAGGAGAGGGCTCCCTGTAAAGCTGCCCCGTGGCACGGTCCCCTGGCAGGCTGCTGCCTGTGCCCAGCACTGCCCACTGCTGTGGCATTGCTCACATCTCACCTGTACAGCCTGTTTCATTTCCACAGCAGGCACTGGGGGATCTCACTCTGCAGCAACAGGGGCAGTTGAAACCATCGGCAAGGACAGTGGCCCAGCTGTGAGGCACAGGACTGGCTCCCATCAGGAAAGCCCCTGCCCACTCACAGGGACCCTGGCAAGCCAAGCCCACCTGCAGCAGGAAGGTGCTGTGCTCTCATGCCTGGCTGCCCTGCTCAGATTCCAACAATAAAACCAACTCTCACCCTTTGCAACACAAGGTCTTGTTTAGCTGCCTTGGGCAGTGGCTGAGATTGGTTTCAGTGATTGAAATCAACTGCTTTGAGCAGGCCTGGGCAGCCAGAAAGGACCAAAGGCATGGTGGAA